CTTGCTTCTGTGTGACCCTTCTCTGAAGCTTCCTTCAATCTTTCCAGACCAGAATCATGAAGCCCCAGAGGGCTGAAGTATTGCACCATTCCTTCTCTGTACAAGCTTTCTGGGTTTCCGCTTTGTCTGCAACGAGTCAGGAAGGAAGATTCTGGGGGTGTAATGAACCATGGAATGTAGGGAAGCTTCTGCATGCACGCCCGCTGGTAAATGAAGTCGTCTTCTTCAATCAGATTGTGAAGCTCTTTGGAGCAAGTTTTGAGTGTACAGAGATCGGCCATGGAAGAAGACGCAACTGTGGCTAAAACTTCTGATAAGACATGGGTTGGGAGAAATTCTATGATGCTGGGGTGGGACGCCATTGACGATGAATTAAGATTAATGAAGCTTTGAGTTTGATGAATATGATTGTATGATTGTTGTGTTAATTAATGGTTACTATATATAAGAGTGGTTTTCCTCCTCCTTAGCGTTTTAGGAAATTGGGGTTGTTTTTAAGAAATTGATCAGTTATCGATATAATTTTTGGTGAATTCTGATAGATAAAATTTATCTTTTGGTTTTTTTTGCTAGAAGATATATTTTATCTATTATGAAGTTTACTTTTCCTTGTATGATTAGGAATATGGTCAAAATCAAAATCGGCTTATTAGTTTTGGATATGGATGATTATCATTTATTTATGTGTGTGTAATTATTACATGGTCTGGCTTCTTGAAAAATTTACAGTAAATATTAATTAGTACGATATTCATTAAATAGTGGTTATAATAATATACTATTTCCGATCCTTAATATAAAACCTTGTTTCATTTTTGTTTTAGTTCTAAATATAAAACCACAATCCATTTTATCTCTGATATTTATGCCTTTGATTATCAAAGATATTTTAGGAAAGACAACATCTATTTATTACAACTAACTAACTAAACTTATTTCCTTAATTTTCTCAAATTAATCAACTAGCTCTTATATTTAGGACAGGAGGTAGTATAATTTTTTAAAGTTCTAAATGATTGTTAGTTAAGGATTATATAATGCTTATTGCTTTTATTGAATAAACAATAGTATCTCTTTGACCAAAAAGGAAAAAGAATGCTTAATATAATAAGTTTTCAGTTAATTCAGATAGTTTCACTTATCTTTTTAATTAGTTTAGCTTTTACCTTTTTTTTTTTATATGTTTAAATATGTAATCACAGCTCTGCCTTCGGTAAAAGAATATTTGGTAACGGGTGGTAACAACTTGTTCTGCAGGTCTGATTATTTTGACCAGGATGAGGATCAAAGTAATTTATTATTATTTTGATGGTTAAAAAAGTAATTTACTATTTTAAACTAGGAAATACTCAGTGTTTTGGCCACCAATAATAAAATAAATTAAAAGAAGAAAGATTATTAACCACAGTTTGGGGTGTCATTGGGACTTGGGAGAATGATTAACCAATCACCAATGCTTGTGTTGGGGACCCTTAACGCTTTTTCTTTTCATTTTTTTTCCAATCCAAATTCGAGCTTTAAATAGAGAAGAACCAAAAATATTTTTTTAATAAAAAACTTTAAAAATTTGGATACAAAATTTATTCTTTAAATTGTACCAAAAATAGTATTCTCCTTATTAAATGTTGACAAGAAGTTATATATTTATACTAAAGGATGAAAAAAAAAATGATCCCAGTTCAGAATATAATTATTGCATCATGTTCCAACGGATCATAATTAAATTAATCTATTTCAAATATTTAAAATAAAAAGATAAAGTGTAATAACAAAAATTATTAACTATTCCATTGATTATTCCATGGATTCTAATGTCTCCCATGATATGGAGGGAAGAAAGGGATATTATTGATTTACCATGTTCATGTCTATCATACTCCTACTTTTGTAATCACTCCTTCCATTTTATATCACGAGATGGCTTTTTAAGTGTTTCAAAATATTATCTCTGTTTCTTAATATAAGAATTTGTTTAGTTTTTATTTTGGTCTTAAATATAAAACTCAAATATACTTTGTCTTTCATATTTATCTTTTTTTTTTCTAAGTTGATCTTTGTAATAATGATAGCTTTAATTAATATACTTGATTAGTAAGGATATTTTAAGAAAGATAATATCTATTTATTATAAATAACTAACTTAACTAGTTTTCTTAATTTATTCAAATTAGTCAACTAGTTCTTATATTAAGAACCGAAGGTAATATAATATATTTTGAGAAAAATAAGGCTTGAATTAATGAACCTATTCTAAAATTACCCACAAAGATGGGAAAATAATTAAGTGTAAGTTTGGATTAGGGTTAAGTTGATTGGAAGACGTTCTTGGAAGTTTATAAAAATACGATTTCAAGTTGTACTTGATGAACTCCATTAACATGCGTAGTCAATTTGTCAAAAAAGTTCCTTATAATAGTGGAGACATAAATATTTAGTATTTAAAATTATTTTAACTTTGTTTTTCATCCTTAAGTTGCAAGATTGCACCCTATGCTAAACTACTACCTCTAGTCTTAAATACTGGAGTTAAATAAAAGGTTCAGCTCGGTCTTAAATTTAAAATCACAATTCATTTTATATCCCAAAGTTATAACTATTTTTTTAAAGTATCACTATTAATTACACATATTAAGAAGATTTTTATTGATAATTTCAATGCATATGATTAGATAGAATATTTATACATTTACTACAAATAATTAACTTAACTAATTTTTTTAAATAATATGTATAAAAACAAGAGGCAGTATTAACTTGTAACTAAGAACAATATAAGGTCATTTTCTCTTTTTCCAGCACCGAAAGATCACGTTAAAGGCAACTCAATTGCGTCAAGAGTTTGCAAAATTGATAAAGGGTCAAACATCAACAAAATAATACTCCTCCGGTCCTTAATATAAGATCCAATTGTTGAGTTGATTTTGGTCCTAAATATAAGAACCATTTCTCATATTTATCAATTTTCTCTAAATTACCCCTATGGATACTCCCTCAACCATAATCAAGTAGAAGAAGGAGAGGGGGTATTAAGAAAGATGATTATGGTGTTTGAGAAAAAACATGTCATATTTTTTATAATTAACTAACTTACCTAACTTCCTTAATTTAATCAAATTAGTTACATGGGTCTTATATTAAGGACCGGAGGAGTATTTAAAATTTAGCCCAATTTCGTAAACTAACTATTCATGGTTCATGATATTACCCACTAATTCCAATTTCATATGATTCCCCGAATAGGGCATTTTCTTTATATATTTTTTTAATTTTTTGTTATGAAATAATTAATTAAATTGTACTCCTCCGATCCTTAATATAGGACCAATTATTGAGTTGGTTTTGATTTTAAATATAAGATCCATTTTTCATATTTATCAATGTTCTCTAAATTACCCCTATGGATACTCCCTCAACCATAATCAAATAGAAGAGGGAGATGGGGTATTAAGAAAAATGATTATGGTGTTTTAGGAAAAATGTGTCACTTTTCTTATAATTAACCAACTTACCTAACTTCCTTAATCTAATCAAATTAGTTAAATAAGTCTTATATTAAGGATCGGAGGAGTAATATTTACATCTCTACCTCAAACAACTGTAAAGTTGATGACCCAGGAGACAAGTTCACAAATTTTTCTTGATCTAATGAAAGAGAATTCCAGCCTTCTAATAAGGGATTTTGTCAGGTAGATTTGAGAAAATCATAGAATCTACTGGGGCTATATATGTCTTGCAGAAAATTACAAACAAAAATGCTCAGTCAAGGATATATATTTATAGTAACATATATCAATATTACTTTTTAAAGAAAATTAACTGAAATAAAGTGTAAAAATTATTTGTTGTGTATATTTTTTATTTGATCGATTTTTGTAAACTTGTTACCTAGTAAATCATCTTTTCACAAAGCTTTGGAGTGACAAATAATGACTAAACCCTATTGAGGCGTTTATTCGGTAAAGTCAAGTCAATTTGAGTCAGTAAGAAGATATAAAATATGATCAAATGAAGTGCATTAAACTTATTGAGAAAAAAATAAATAAAAATTAGTTAATTATATCCTTTTTAAAATCAAACAGTATATTGAGTATAGTTTTATCAAATTTTAACTAATTTAGTGTAAATTCAAGAACTTTGATTAAGCAGTATCTCTCCTACATGAAACTGTGAGGAGGGATGGATTTTATAAGCTAGTGTTTTGTCGGTTCATGACCAAAATTTATACCTTAAAAGCTCCCCTTTCTTGTTTTGCTGAAGAGAATAAATTGAGTGAAGAAGAAAAAGTATTACTTTTCGTTGAAAAAGTTGCACAATTGTTTTTTTTTTTTTTTTAATTTAAAAGGATATGCATCAGACAAACCTTTCATTTACTCAAGTTTTTATGTCACTGAATTAGAAGATAATTATTTTGATATGATTTGTGTTTGGTACAGATGAATACAGTAATACTCTTCATGCCAACCAAACATTGGAACACAATTTCCATTTTCATTTTTTTAAGGAAAATACAGCGAATCAAACGGGGTCTGAGAGGGTAGGACTAGGATTTACCTTGAGCCAATTTTCCATGGCACCAAATAGCAAAAGAAGCTTACTTTTGTCTTAACGGTTAAGGGATCTATCTATCAACAGACAACGGATGATCAGACGAATAATGATGCCGACCAAAATTTCCAGGCCGGAGTCACGTCCCGTGATTTTCGATCCCCACAGTTAAAATGTCACAACGTGAGCTGAACATGGCCGCATGACTATACTGACACGACATGCGCTTCCACCTGTGGTGCTCTTTTCAAAGTTCCCATTTTTATCTTTTTGGGGAATTTAATAAAAAAAAATACAAAAGAAAAAACTATCATTAATGCCATCATCATCACCTGCTCCTGTAGGGTTTGACAAGAAAAAATGATGTTTTTTTACATTTTTTTTGGTTGGGTCCTGCTGTGTGCCAACGAGGTACAAGAATGATTAAACAAAAAAGTCCGTCTTCGTTCTTAGTTCTTTCCTCTCCTTCCTTCTGCCTTTTCTCCATTTTCATCCCAACTTTTCCTAACTCTCTCCCGTCAATCGCTTCAGCTCAAAACCTACATTACAGATTTGCTCTGCAACTTGACATTAAAGCTATATATCTTTGAAAAAGGAGAGGTTTCTGATGGGTTTAGTAAGCATAGAAACTAAGGGGAGTGGGAAGTTTGGTATTGGGTTCATTTTGGTTCAGGAGTTGTGGGTTTTGCTCAACTTCCACTGAAACAACTAGGAATGATTATTTGGGAATTGGATATCAGTAATCACAGTGTCTGCCAGTGCCACTCATGTTTGGGATTCGGAGGCTACGATGGTTTATGGGTCTGAATCAGAGGAATATGTCGACCAAAAGGTTGCCCAGTGTCGAGCAACGTGGTCCTGCAAGAGCAAATCTACTGTCTATGATGGATGCTGTTCATGAAGTTGCTATTTACATTCATAGGTTTCATAATCTAGACCTTTTCGAACAAGGGTAAGCTCTAGATTCAGCAGAACTGATTAGTTCTGGTGAATGTTGTTTCAAATACTTTCTTTGTATTCCTTTTGATTTTTAAATGTTAGTCATGTAATGTAGGTGGTACAAAATCAAGGTTACTTTGAGATGGGAGGATGGCGATGACTCCTATCCTGGGATTCCGGCACGGGTGGTTCAGTATGAAGGTGAATATATTTACAATCTTTTGAGACATTAGTAATCATTAAAGATGTTTCTCTGTAGCTAGACATGGTTAATTCATGGAGCTACATATTCAGGTTCACTGAGAGCTTGTGCTTGTTTGATTGGTATATTTGTGCTTGTGTGTGATTTCCACGCAATTTTGTTCTTAGGTGCAACATATGATGAACAAGTTCTTTTTATTTACACAAGCTTACAATGAGCTTGCCAATCAATTTTTCTTAACAGACGAGGCTCACAGAGTGAATAACTTCCCTTTCTAATTCTCACAATGCAGGTGCACTCTAAACTATTTTATATGATTTTTACTAGGTCATTAATCAAGCCTTTGAAAATTGTGCGCAAATCATGTATTCATACACTACTACTTTCTGAAATTTCGGTTAGTATTTTAGAATGATCATACTTCTCGTGTCAATAGCCACTTAGACTTCCTTTTCCCAAAAAAAGATATTTATGTTTTGTCTGATTTAATAGGAGTTCTATAAATGGCCTGTTTGATAGTCTTCTCTCTCTCTCTCCCCCCGCGCGCGTGCGTGTGTGTTTTTTTTCCTTTTTCCTGTGAAAAGATGGAATGTGGAAACAAATGACGCAAAACCTTAATTTTAGGGTCTTAGAAGACAAGCTTGTATCATGAGTCATGAGGTGATCCTCATGATGCTGTTTATTTGTCATCATTTTTAACTTCTGTAAAGTCTGGACCAGATCATGCACGGTGCAATGGTATTGACTTTTGCCAATTTTATATGACCTGAAGCCAAAGTATCCCATTTCCCAATGCCATGTAGAGCTTTTCAGAGATTTTTCACAAATTTTTTTTTATTATCAGTTTTTTTTTTTCCTTTTCTTTCTTTCTTTGCTGGGGTTGGGGGGAATAAATTTGTAGTGTCCAACCATGAACTACTTGAAATTCTTGTAGTCTGAATTAAGTTAAAATATTTACCCTTCATGTTTTGAAAACTTTTTCCGGCTTTTTCAAGCCTGCTATATGCTGTTGATATCATAAGGCAGTGGCCCTATTGTGTTTGATTTGAAGTATCTTGGTCCATCAGATGGTTATCTTTTTACTGCGATTAATGTGGAGTGAAATCTGAGAATCCATCTTGATCTTTTGCTGCAGCTCCTGAAGTGGGTTATGACAATTTATGTACAGTTTGGAAAATAGATGATGCAGACAACAGTTTTTCAACACCACCATTTCGAATCAAATATGCAAGGCAGGATGTGGTTCTTTCTATTATGATCTCATTCTATCTTTCTTTTGCAGGACATGAGGTCAGTAATTGTCTTATCCTTTGATAGTTTGATATGAAAGATATTGTATATATGCAGGTAGTTGAGAGGGTTTCTTTATGTTGAACAAATCAACTAGGTAGCTGACACGCTAAAAACAGATAAAATAGAGGAAAGATTGTTGAGAACATGATATCTTTGTCTTGCCAAAAAAGTAAGAAAGAAGGTTATGTTTGAGGCTTCATGTGATATTTTTGGGGTTTTCCAACGTGGCCAACTGAAAGCCCTAAAAATGTCCTGACTTAATATAAATTTGATACAGTGATATAGTTTCACGTTAAATGAATACTGAAATTCTTGAAAGAAGTGGAAAGTCCCCTCAGACAATATAATGAAAACATAAATAATGAACAGAGCAAAGAACTTGGGAAAGGAAACAAATCACACAAGAACTTAGGCAATAAACAAACAATAATGTAAGTACATCATAATTATGTGTCAAAATCAGTTTATATAAGTGTATCAATTCCAGTTATGCTCACCGATGTTTCTTATGGACTTGATTCTTTCCCTCTAGTTCGTAAGATAATGGCTGATGATTGATTTTATTTTCTCAGGCAAAATCGTCTGCTGTTATCATGAAGTTTGAGCTTATGCAGGCCCTTACATCTGATATTGGGTTAGTCAATGATGCCATTCCCACTTCTTGGTATATTTAACAAATGAAATTCAAAACATGGATATTTATTGAAGTGGAGTTTATTTTCTTGCTAATAATTATTGTCAATTGGAAGATGTGAACCCTGGAACTGCTTGCATCATTGTGCAGAGCTGAGATGCAGGCGTTTCCAGATGCTTATTCTGCTTCAGTTCATGAGTATAGAATTCCCCCTAAAGCTCTTCTCGGGTTACATTCATATTGTCCTGTCCATTTTGATGTTTCACATGCTGTCCTTGTTGATACAAGTGTTCATGTCAGTTTGCAAAAAGCTAGCTATCACACAAGCCGACTGAAGGTACCCAGGTTTGTCAGAGTTTCATCTTTAGAAGCTTGCATCATAATGCTGGTCACTGTTGCATCGAAATAATTTAGAGTTTTACATACTTTGCGGCTCTAATAATTGATTACTTGTATTATGCCAGTGATTATTGGTCTTCTGAAGGTGCTCATGAGGAAGATTCTATTAAGTCAAACAAGGCAAGTTTTATCACAGTAAATTTCACATGATCTACGTCTACTTGATTTTTTATTCAATAATATTTTTCCTTTTATGAAGATGCTGCTATGATAAGCATGTGATTTATATTATTTGCTAAACTCATTACACTCTTTTTTTCCCCTTGAAATCCTTTTTATTGCTGTAGTAAGTTATACTGATGGGCAAATCTCAAATCAGGCTAAGCTCATCAAAGCATTAATGGCTGCCCATGATATCCTCCTTGAAGATCTGAGAAGGTTAAGCGAAGGAATCAACCAAGCTATTGATCTTACTGGGATGGATCCCACAATTGACCGTGCAAAATTTGCTAATTCTTCGCCACTGGTACATTTGGACATTACTGAATAGGTTTTCACAGCAACTGTCTACCAGTTCAGAAGGCAGTGCTGAGGTAGAAAACTGCAGTGTGAATGCTTTGTTATTTATTCTCCTTTTATTGATCTTTCAGACTTATTTCTATGTAGTAGCTCAACCTTTCCTTCAATAGAAAGCTAATGGTTATATTGCTATGCATACATACAAATTGTTTCAGTCTTTATCTTGGGACGATCTGTTAAATTCTTATCAGTCTCTGGGAAATCAGCTCTTACAGCTGTGGAACACGTTTCTGAAATTTCACAGGTATGCTGACATATATTACTGAAGTAATTACATGTCCATTAATTACCTCAAGTGTCGCAGCTTTATAGTTGCTCATATTTCTTGTTCTGTATTCCTGCATCTATTCCGATCTTTATTGTATCTGGAAAAGTTATTCCTCAATTTCTTTCCTGATTTCTAGGCTGATATTTCCTTGCTTTTATCAGCCAAGCTTGAGCCTGATCTACAGTCTAAGAGAGTTTTAACTTCTTTGGAATGAAGCTGCTTTTCCGTTTATGCATATTGTGACGCATTTTTATTACTAAAATAAAGTCTTAGCGTGATTGTTTTCTTTTGTCACAAGGGCACTCTAATAATTTTAACATAATGTTAAAGGATTAAATTGATGCAATGATATGATTTTCTTTTCCCTCCCTTTATTTTTTAACCCAGGGAAAATAAAACAATGATACTCGAATTTCTACGTCATTCATGGGCTATTGATCGAAGATCTGAATGGTCAATATGGATGGTACACTCCATATCTGAGATGCCCCATCAGAGTTTGAGTAGCAGAGTTGAAGGAACAATAATGCGCTGGGGCACACATGGAAGATCTTTAAATTCGAGGAAGTTAACTGATGATGTAAATATCTAATATATTTTGTACAAGAATCATAAACTTGATCATCTTCTGTTATATTTGGGATTAATCATTATATTTTTTGCATGTAAGTCTGCTTAACTAAAACAATTCTTTGGGTCTGCTGTCTCTCTTTTCTGTTTAGCCTTCTCAGACTGCAACAATGCGTGCTGAACTTCATAGACGAGGAATAGCACAAATGAAGGTGAGTGGCTGCTTGTCTAGAATGCTTTATAGTCGTTCCATTTCCTATTGAACGGAAACTGTGTTATATGCTTCTCTTGTGCAAACTGGTTGTGACAAATATGAATTTAGTGCAGATCAACAATAGGTCACTTCAAGACATGTATATATTCGAGGATCCTTTGCGCATTCCTATTATTATTATAGAACGGATGGCAAATATGGATCATTCTCCAAGTGTAAATTCTTACTTCAATCCGTTGGAGGCAAAAGCAAATCTTATCTTGGAAAACGGATCTAGAGGCACAAACAAGTCTGGGAGTAGCCCACAACGAAATGGGCAAGTTTTGAGAGTAGTTGTTTTTGTGCATGGATTTCAGGCATGTTTCAGCTCTTACATTTGCCTTCATCCCTATAGTTATTTTGGCATCTCTTCTTACATTTCTTGCTGCTTTGGACCTTCATTTGTTTTGGGATGATATATCACGTAGTAATAAATTCAAAATGAATTCACCAAAAAAAAAAATGAAAATGAAAAATCTCTAGATTATCTTCATATGGCTTTTGTTACACAAAACCACTCAACATGTTGGAGCTGAACGGATAACTTTTGCGTTAAATACATCAAATGTTGTATCCATATTTGAAGCTTGTCTACGATGTTTCCAAATTCTAGGTTAAAGTGAGGGATTTGCCTCCTTTCTTTGGATTACCAAGGGTTACAGAATTGATGTTTTGAATCATGTTGGTTCATCATTCCTGAGGTTTTTTAGCCATAGCAGCTGGGTACTGGGGGCAGGAAAATATCACTCATAAGCTCATAAACTTTTTCACATCTTAACTTAAGCAAAATGCTGGTTCAACACTGCTAACTTGTCTCCACATTTTGAGCAAAATGACAATTTTGAGATAGCTTGGGTGCTGCAGATTCAAATTGTGTGCTTTTTGAAAACTTATTTATCTGTAAACATGGAGCATTTTAGTCCATTCATTTTGATAAGTGATATTAATCTTTAGGAGAGCCATAGCCTAACAGGTAGCTTCTGTGTTCAGAGAACCATAACTCAAGCTAGATCACAAGATTGAAGAACCTAATGTCCATACCAATCGGATGTCCGTATCCCATACTTCTGGTGTGGGGCTTAAGTCTCATATTTTGCAGTGGGTCTTAGCATCACCTCAGTCCACAGCATGACGACCATGCATGGTTGAGATCAAGTGGAAAGAGGGCTCCAAAACTTGACTTCAATACGGGCAAGAGGAAAAGGAGAGAGCAGGAGATTTATGGGAGAGAAAATGGAAAGAGAGAGTTGTAGAAGGTTCTTATACCAATTTGCCAATGATATAAACCTCTAAGATAGTCACAACAGAATTTAGCTCATGAGGTTAAAAGCTTCAGGATCCATCAAGTGAGACTCAAGTCCTATGCCTTTGCAATAGGTTCCAACATTCCAGCATGCTCCACAACCTAGCATCCAGACTCTTAAACCTGGGCAACGACACACAAGCAAGAGAATGGGAGATGGGAAGAGGAAAGGAGAACAGAACGTGGGAAAGAAGTAGAGAATGGAGGGTAGTATAAGTCCTTGATACCATTGATATGGACATTTAAGAGAATCATGCGCGAAAATCTAGCTCGTGGGTGAGAACCATATAATGCCATACCTTGTAAAGGGTCCTAACATTGTATCCTTTATAATTTGTTGTTCAAATGACTTGTTGCACAACCATATGTTTTAGGGCTTGTTTGGAGCTCCGTTCACGACGAACTTTTAACAAGTTCACATAAGCCGAGACAAAACTCTTATCACATACTTACCTTGTATTCTGTAAATCACGTTTGAAAAGCTACTTATAAGACAATCCAAACAAGCCCTCAGTAGTCGAAAAAAATTTAGAGGTGTGACCACATCTGTGAACCCTTTGTCCAATAATGAACCTCTAGTATATAACGACAAATCACCAAATCCCTTGCCTTAACCATTAGCAATAGACTTGGAGGCACATTATAATGCATTGGATAAACATTATGAACCCAAGCTAATTGCCTTTTTGTCTTGAAATGAGCACTTATTGGTAAACATGTTGACACGTCTCATTGAACAATTGTCTATGGATAAAGTTTTCAAGTTAATGAATATAATCTATTGTCTTATCTTAGTCATTGTATCTAGCCACTACAGCCATGTGATATTGGGGCTGGATGTATTCTTTTATTTGAAGTTTGGGATGGTCATAACAAAGTAGCCATGAATGCTTCAAGAAACTCTGCTCCTTTGTTGATTGTCCTACAGAAGGGTTTTACTGTCCCAATAGAGGCTTAACATTGAATTATTCTTGCCAGAAATTTTATCTTATTATAAAAGTTATTAGTACAAATGGGCCCCGTTCATCCTAATTTCTTCTATGTATGTGCATGAAACCTCATTTTATATTGTTACATTGAGACAGTCATACTCATGCATCCATGCATTTGTTTTTTACACACGTGAGCTCTCCCTCTAATAAATTACATCCGGTTCCTTTTAGATCTGTTTGTTTGCTCAAGTCATGCCTCAACCATTGCTGTTCTATGGTATATATCTGAAATTAAAGGGTAAACTCGGTCTGTTATACTTTCCCGTTTCAAGTATAAGTCAATCAGTCGCCAAAACCAATGACTAATTGGTAATGCGGATCTACCCTTCACAGCAGTAGACATAGAGATATGCAATGCAACAGCCTTCTTTCTTTTCTTTTATACTGTTGTTTGTAGTGTAGTTTCATCTGCCTTATTTTTTACAATATTTTTGCTTGCCTTTTTACTGATATATTACTGCAATTCTCATGATTTTAGCATGAATTATGTTGTGCTCAAAAGATGTTAGTGGCTTTTGCTGATTGTTATATGTAATTTTAGTTGACGGCATTCCTACTTTAATGTTTATAGTCATAGTGAATTCATTTCATTGGCAAGTTTAGAATTTGTCTTATCCTCCTTATTGTTCTGTTAATAGATCATTTGACTATCACTTAAACTTTGCAGGGACATCATTTGGATTTACGGCTTGTGCGGAACCAATGGCTGCTGATAGATCCCAAGATACAATTCCTTATGTCAGAGGCTAATGAAGACAAAACATCTGGAGACTTCAGAGAAATGGGTTTACGACTTGCAGAGGAGGTGGTCTCTTTCGTCAAAAGGAAGATGGATAAATTTTCAAGAAGTGGACACCTGAAAGATATCAAGCTTAGCTTTGTTGGCCATTCTATTGGAAATCTCATTATCAGGACTGCTTTAGCAGGTGTGCATGCATAAATCTTATAGAAGTAGTGTTGATCACAATCACATTATTAAAAGAATTTCTTTTTCTTTCTTTCTTTCTTTTTTTTTTGTTTTTGTTTTGAATTGCAGAGAGCATCATGGAGCCATATTTAAGATACCTGTATACATATGTTTCAATATCGGGTCCTCACCTGGGTTATATGTATAGTTCAAACTCTGTGTTCAATTCAGGGTTGTGGCTCTTGAAGAAGCTGAAGGACATACAATGCATCCATCAGCTGACATTTACAGATGATCCTGATCTTGAAAACACCTTCATCTACAATCTTTCCAAGGTACTGAATTGTGAATGCATGCTTATTTTCTCTTGATATATGGTGAATGTTTTTTGGGGTTGTGGCGGGAGGTAAGCAGTGATTACTGGAAATTCAACTGCTAGAAGGTTGCTGCCTTGAAGTTTTGGTCTGAGTCTTGTAGCTTGTTTATTCTTTTGAATCCTCATGGCAAATGTTTTCTATGCTGTTCAATTTAGTTGGCGTATTTTGATGAAGGGAACAATGGGAAATAAGTTTCATTTTGTTAGTCTTTAGCTGCTGAAGTTAAATAACATCTATTCTTTTACTGCAGAAGAAGACACTGGTGAACTTCAGGAATATAATACTTTTGTCCTCACCTCAGGTAACCTTTTTGGTATGCTTATGATGAGAATCTGGATAAGTTGAAATTAATTTTAATTTTCTGAATTCCATCCTGAGAGCTTGCATTCATCTATTTGATCATTTCTGTCCTTAATATAAGAGCTTGTTTGACTTTTAATTTGATTCTAAATATAAGATCCCAATCCACTTTATCTTTCATATTTATCTATTTTTTCTAAGGTATGGTCCTTGTAGCAGTTGTACATATTAAATATTTCATGAAATGACACTTGGTTAGTAAGGGCATTTTAGGAAAAACAATACTTATTTATTACAAACAACTAACTTAACTAATTTTCTTAATCCACTCAAATTAGTAAATTAGCTATTATCTTGAAGACCCATGGTAGTAGTAAAAAGTATATATCTGAAACCAATGGATCAAGAAAAGAAACGGGAGCTGAATAATTAAAAGAAATATGCTGGGTGGAAAGCTCACTTCTATAGGACCTTTTTTTCCTGCCAGTATAGGACTTAAAATAATGCATAATTGCAGCTACTCTATCTGCTTTTCTGCGATGGTCCTTTAATATGGTTTCTTCACATTTTGTGTTGGTTTTATTAGAGCTATCAACTAGTTTTGATTATATGCCTTGTGTAAAATTAATAATTCCATAGCACCGTTCAACTCAAAAAAAATAATTCCATAGCACTGTTTTATTAAATATCCATTTACCCCTTTCTATTATTTGTTAAAATATTTCCTAGCGCTTCCTCTCAATTTCATTTCAGGATGGTTATGTCCCCTACCATTCTGCCAGAATTGAACATTGTCCATCAGCTTCCTTGGATTACTCTAAAAAAGGGAAAGTCTTCCATGAGATGCTAAATAATTGCTTGCACCAAATTAATGCCCTCACCGACCATGGTGTGGTCATGCGCTGTGACATCAACTTCAATACCTCCTCATACGGCAAGAACTTAAACACACTCATTGGGCGGGCTGCTCATATAGAGTTCTTGGAGTCTGACATTTTTGCTAAGTTCATAATGTGGTCTTTTCCCGAGCTCTTCACTTAGTCTTGCAGAAATCTACATGGAAGTCTCTCAACTCAGTTCATTTTGAAAATTGGCGAAGGTTTTTGGCACAAGATTTCTGCACCTGTATAACTGATTCCTCCATTGGAATCAAGAAAATTTCATGGGTGCCAAGTTCAACTCCTTTGAAGGTCGAAACTCCTCCAGGTGGGTATAGTAGGACAAAAATTGGTGGATCCTTTCCAACCTTTGGCCAAATTTTGCTCCATTTTTCTTTCACAAGAGCATATAGTAGAGCCATTGAATTTTTATGGGACCTTGGCCTGTGAATTACTTACTATTCTGTTTTATATATTTTCTCGCTCAATGTCCAAGATAGGGATGCACCTTTTATGCTAGTAGTCTCTACTGGGCTCTGCTAAAGGACCTGATTATTAAGGGTTTGCAGTGTTGCTTAGTCAGGCATGTTGTATTACTTGGTGTACAAGTAACAGGAGCATAGGTGTACAATATCTGTTGTGAGTTTATAGAAGGTGTCAGCTCAGTAGGCTTAGAACCTAGAAAAAATGTACATTCTCAGTTGGAATTCGATGAATTTCCAATAAAGTTACTGTCTATTTTATTTAGAAAACGCTGCTGTAATATTTTTATTTGAGATGTCTATCAAATATTGATCTATTCCTCAAGACAAGCATCTTCAACTATTAAAAATGTAAGATTGGGTTGGTAAGTTCGTTGACCTTTTTTAAAACTTCAAACCCCTCATAATTTCTTAAAGTATTTATTGTTCCAAATAAATCCAACATTACGGCGGGCATCTGATAGAGCTTCTTGTGTATATCATCAGGTAGCAACCATTTGATACGTCATGTATGATTTCATTGTGGAATCATTGACAACTCATTATTTTAAAGAGAATAATTTCGGAAAACAAACGTTTCTAGCCATTTGAACCAAAATTTGTAATTAATTACTTACTTTATGATCAGACCCCAAAATCAAACACATATCGAGAAGTTTATTACCAACTTTGTAATTAGACCATGGCCTGAGAAATAAAACGTGTTCACAGCAAACTGTCTCAATGGTAGTACAATCCCCCACGCTTGGAGAAGGTCTCAACTAGCCGTTGACATGTTTGTGTACATACATTTAAATTGTGCGTTAAAAAAAGCATGTAATTTTACTATCACCTATAACATCTCATTTGACTGTTTCAAGCACAATCAAACTCTTGAGGATGACATTTTCTGTCTCCAAAATATTTGTCCTCCGTACAATAAGTGGACATCACTAGAGTAGTAATACTAGCAGCAGTGTCATTACAAAAAGGATGGCTTAAAGCTCATGAATGTTTTCTTTTTCCTCATTGTGAGAATTTACTGTATTACAAATTTTGTAAGAAAAGTGCAAGTGCAAGACATAAACCATATGAGCAAATAAGGCATGAGATATTTAGGAAGTAACCTGAACATTATGTTCTCTCACACAAGTACAGAGACAAATACAAGGCAGGCTAGGAGTTTATACTCTAAACGCATTTGGTAACTCTTCCTCCTTCCAAAAAGCAAGATACAAAATGTGTACGCTTCACAAATTTGTACATTTGATCTTCCTCTGTAACAAGTTCACCGATTTCCTTACTCTGCATAGTTTGACATACTCAGGTATTCCAGCCCCTCAGTTCTGCAAGCCATGATCTTTCGGAAAACTTCCCTCACTTGGCACTCCAGTGGATCCAGACCACCTTTAAAAGATTCATAAATCAAATTCAACTCCTCTGTAACCTGTTCAACTTCAAATTTCTGCTCCTCTGTTAATGGAAGCTGGACTGAATCCACCAGGTCTGTCAAGTGTTGGGTACATCTCTCCACTTGATATATCTCCTTCAACAAGCCATTTGAGTTCCGGCGTTCACGCTTCTTAGACTCCTCCAAGATTCGTTCGTGAAGTGAGGTTATGGGGGTGCTCCATGAGAACTGCCGCGGTATTGAAAAATGGATATTCAGACCCCTATCCTGACAAGGAATCGCTGCTACAAGAGACCACAAGACAAACAACAGAACAGAGTACATTGTAAACACAGGAATAGCAAGACCATTGGTTGCAGCAGTCTCATTTGCACGAGGTGGAGCCAAGTTATTTGCAATGGATTGCAGTTGCTTGGCTGCAGACCAGGAGCGAGATACACTCCAAGAATGAGACCGAGAATGCCCTGAGTGGGAATGCTTATCTTTGCTTGTGTTATGACGTCCAAAAGATCGGTTGCGTTGTGAAAAAGCAGACCCAGTGTCATCAAGCATTGCCAGTGCCAAATCCATCAATGCCTTTCTTGCTCTCCGAAACATGCCTTCACTTAATGCTCTCTTTTTAGAGTCCAAGGCAGACATGACAATCTCCAATTGTTTTTGCCACACCCGAATCTTCTCAACCCCTTCACGGCTCGCATTACAAATATCAAGTGCCTTCACTGAACTCTCAAAGAATTCAGAAATTATTCGATCAAGAGGGGGTTTTGAGATCTGTTCCTTCTTATTCAGTAGAATGGCCCTGAATTCCTCCTGGCAGCAGACAAATGCATCAAGGAGCTTCAGCATCCATTGGATAGAGAGCAATTCATCATCACTGACCCCACAAAGCTCATCGAATCTATCTGTGACCAGCTTCTGGAATGATTCAAGCCCTGTATCATGGGATCCGGATTCATGACTCACCTCCAAAGAATGAACCTGCTCCCGCCTGATACCAAATAATGAACGGCCAATGGAGGAAAATGGTGTTGAGGGGCCCTGACTATCCGACGACATTGTCAAACTTCAGAGATTACTCCCCCTCAAGATACTCAGTATTCTACACCAAAAGCCCAAAATCAACAGATCAAAGAAACCCACCATGAAGGCTTTTTTCTAATTCAAATGTATCTGATCCTGAGGCATCTAAATTCATCATAATTAAACACTCAATATCCAATTGGTCAAATTCATTAACTTCAAAGCGGATCCAATCAACAGATTGATCAAATTCCAATCCTGAAAGCCAAACTCCAATCACAAAATATCTTACCTCCCAATCATATGCTCTCCATCACTTCAAACTCGAACAAAAGAATTTGCAAAACCATGCTCAAGATCAAACAATTTCTTCGTAATTGACTTGATTCTGGGGCAAAAACAGTGTCAACTAACAATCAAATCTTTTTTCCCTGAAAACTTCAGAATTGTCAACACCCAGATGCAAATTCAAAAAAGCTTCAAATAAATTAAAGATTTTCCAGAAAACCATGTAAGGAAACTGCAAGTGCAAGAACACAGATGAAGAAAATCTAGAAGTGGAGAATAAAGGGAATACCTTTGAACTTCGAATCAGGTACTCGGAACACATTTAACATGAGTCTTTCAGAAGGATCGAGTTCAAAGGGAAAGCACAAAATAAGAACTTTGAAGCTTTTACAAGTAAAAAGTAGTCGTAACAAGCACAAGCGCATAACAATGGGCAATGGCAGATTCGCAAACCCTAGCGAAGGACCGAAGCCCTCGCTTTGGTTGTCGTCAGTTGAAGGAACTGATGTAACGAAACGAAAATAACGTGAAAACTGAAAACGCCAAATTTTTTAAAAAATAAAATTAAAACCATCAACTTCCTCAACAATATTTTTTCCTTTTGAAAAATCATGTGAACTAAACTAAAATAATTGGGTAGCACATCAATTTCCCTTACAGTTCTTTGATTTATAATAATATAGGCATTAAAAAATTTTTTTTAAATAATAAATTGCCGGAGGAGGATTACGGATAGAATAAAAATTATGTACAGAAACCGCAGCATCAGTTTTAATGGAATAAATGTTAATAGCACGACGTTTGATAAGATATCTTTCAATTAAGTTTAAATATTAATATTAGGGAAAATGACACAAAAATTATACTTGAACTTGCAAATGCCAAAATGATCACCTGAATTTGTAAAATCCTAATTTACTCATAAGTGACCAATTTGACATTTATAAATTTGTTGAAATGATCACACTACCCTCCATTTTATTTATTGTTTTTAAAAAACCAAAGTCCTCATTAGTCAGCCGGTCGCCGAAACTCTAACAGCCAGAAACAAGTTTTTTGAAAATTTTTACAACTTCAGAATAACAGTTAACAACTTTTATAACGCTATTAATAACTTCAGTATAGTAGTTAATAACAAATTTTTCAGAAAATTCAATAATTGGTCGCCGGAGCTCTGACGACCAGAAACAATTTTTTTAAAAAATTTTACAACTTTAATATAACGGTTAACAACTTTTGTAATGCTATTAACAATTTTAGTATAGTCGTTCACAATAGGTTTTTGAATTTATTAACAACATTATTGAAGTTGTAAAAATGTCACTTTTTGAATTTTCCAAAAAAACTTGTTTTTAACTGCTATATTGAAGTTGTTAATAACGTTGCAAAAGTTGTTAACCATTATAGTGAAGTTGTAAAAATTTTAAAAAAAATTGTTAAAGTTGTAAAAATGTTATTTTTTTGAATTTTTAAGAAAACTTGTTGTTAAATGCTATATCAAAGTTGTTAATAGACGTACATAAGTTGTTAACGACGTTACTAAAATTGTAAAAATACTACTTTTAAATTTTTTAAAAAATCTATTATTAACTGCTATACTGAAATTGTTAATAATGTTACAAAATTATTAACCATTATACTGAAATTGTAAAAATTTAAAAAAAAAAGTTGCTAAAGTTGTAAAAATGCTATTTTTTTAAATTTTTAAGAAAAGCTGTTGTTAAATACTATACCGAAATTGTTAATAGAGTTACGGAACTTGTTAACGACATTACTGAAGTTGTAAAAATGCTACTTTTTGTATTTTCTAAAAAACTTTTTGTTAACTGCTATACTGAAATTATTAATAGCATTACAAGAGTTGTTAACTGTTATATTGAAATTGTAAAAAATTTTAAAAAAATTGTTTCTGGAGCTCTAGTGACCAATTGTTTAATTTCCTGAAAAACCTGTTAACTGCTATACTGAAGTTGTTAACAAGGTTTTAAAAGTTGTTAACCGTTATACTGAAATTGTAAAAAAAATTTTTAAAAAAAACTAGTTGCTAAAGTTGTAAAAATGCCATTTTTTTTAATTTTTAAAAAAACCTATTATTAAAATGCTATACCGAAGTTGTTAATAGAGCTGTGGAATTGTTAACAGCATTACTGAAGTTGTAAAAATGCTACCTTTTGAATTTGCCGGAAAACTTCTTGTTAACTGCTATATTAAAGTTGTTAATAGCATTACAAGAGTTGTTAATCATTATGCTGAAATTGTAAAAAAATTTTAA